TGTGTTAGGATTTGATGACAACAAAAGTCGTGTTGTGTATCTGGACGGTTGGGAGTATGTAGAAGGCGATGTACTAGCAGACTTTGCTATTATACAATATATAACGTGTGATCTTGAATTGGCAGACAAATTATCTAAGATTCTAGAACATTTATATGATTTAGAACAGAAGATTTCATTGAAGTATTTATCTGGTGATGTAGACAAACTTACTGTTGTAATAAGTCATCCCCATGGGTGCCCTAAACAGGTATCTGTTGGAGAGTGGATACATAAACATCAAAGAGAAGAATATAAAAATTACGACAACATCAATTGTAGGTTCTGGTACACAACATCTACTTGCCCCGGATCATCGGGTGCAGCAGTGTATGTACTCAGTCAAGAATTTTCCCATATTACGAAACGCCATATTCCAACCCACGTTCATAGTGATAACGTAGGCGATGGTTGGAATAAAAGTGGGTACGGCGTCGACATTCTGTATACTCAACAAAGAAATAGTGATAAATGTACAACTAGTCCAAGCACATTGGAAGATGTTGGACGTGATTTGATTACAGCGAATAGTTTAAACACAGAAAAAATGAACACCTTTTTGCCCTTACCTAAACAAAGTAACAAATCAAGGAAAAGTAATCTGGCTAGGAGACGCAATGTCCTAGGGGTCCGAGCGCAGAACCGATCTCCTCGGTTAGCAATGAAAAAATTAAAAACTCGAACACGCTGTCCAAGTCACCGTAGGCGGTTTATTTCTACATTAAGTGGACTTTTAAAGTAGGTTTTTAATTAGATTTTAATTTTTTTAAATCCTTGTTTTATGGTTGGTCATTCGATCAGTATGTCTGTCCTCCTTTTACTTCTAATGTCTCCGAACACAAAAATATCTAATGTTTAATCTAATTGAAGTTGAAATTAATCATTCAAGTTAAGTTTAAATCTTATACATTATATAACATGCGGAATATATCAGGATTACATTATTTACTTTAATATATAAAATCTAAATCATCCTCAACACTTGTTTTGTGTCGTTCGGGCTCCACTGAGTGGTGTGTTTAGGGTTAAGTGTCTCATGCCGGCACCCACCCACCCCCATACCTGACCATCTAGGTGCGCTCACCTTGGTCACGTGCATGTTCAATGATGCCGTGTTAGCATTAGTTTAATTTCCCTCCTAGATGAGTAGCTGTCTCCAGATATCCAGCCCCTTCTCGATTTCATTAAGAACTTTAAAAACGGCATAAATGTAGCTACTAATTGATTTTAAGAACTTAAATATCGACTCACTATTTTAATTTTAAAAACTCATCATTTCATAATTGCTAAAATGCAGAAATAAAGCAAATATAAAAACAACTTATAATAGTATGCATTTAATTGTATTAATAATTAAAATAAAACAATCTATCTGTATTTAGCAAGATATAATTAGATGATTAGTAATATGATTTGCGTATGCATAAGTTTTTGTATTTTTTTGTAATAAAATATGATTGTAGCCTACATAGGAAAAATGTTCATTGAATGTTAATGTATGATTTTTCCGATCATTTGATTGATATCATTCATGCTAGTGTCACTACGGGCCTTGGAGAGCTTTGTCCAGATTCTCATATTTTTTTCTTGTAGGACGTCCGACGTCACTTTTTAACGTCAGGACTTCGAGCTGCCGTACGTCAAACTCCTAGTCATCAATCCACCTCAACCTAGTCAAGATTTTTATCCTGTCCCTTTTGGGATTTTTGTTATAGCCTATATAACTTTCATTCTCTATTTGTTCCGCATTCTTTCAAGATGAGCTAACAATTGCAGTCTTCCATTTTAAAAACAAATCTTTGCCTCTATTGTACAGTTTTTGTACTTTTCAGACATTTAATTCTTAATTTGGGTTTTGCATTGATTATTTTAGCGGTCATTTTTATTTACTTTACCGGGTATTTTTGTTTTGCTGTTTCCTTCCAGTCCTAGCTCAGTAAACGCATTTGTTTTACCGATATCATGTATTATCTATATAATTTCCCACTAATAATGCAATATATTTTGTGTGATCAAGGTGCTGGTGAGGTTTATTGTACATTTGATTAATAACAGTAACATGTTACTTATTTTTTTTAACAGTTGCTTTTTTAAACTGAACAGCTTATCATTAGTTTTAACCATTCATTTCTTTTATGCGTATTAAAGTTTTGTTTTTGTATTTTGAGCAAACAACTTACTGTTATCTTTTTAGATGCGTGTCTGTATGAATTTTGTGAAATAAAATATCAACATTGTTAAAATGTGTTTTTTTTTCCTTTTAGTCTGCCCATAACCTATATACGTATAAGGCCTCAGTATCATTCGACTAATCATTGAATCTGTTTTACTTCTGTGTAATCTAAGTATCAATATGTAATTACACAAATGGTTTGAGAGAAAATTTAACTTGAGTCTTCAGAGTACATATTTTGAAACATAAATCATTTACGCTACAACAAATCGAATGATGACGTTGTCGAATGGTAGCGCTTATACCCGTAAACCCGACAGTCTCGAGTTCAAATCCTGTGTTCAATATGTACCTGACTCACGTTAGAAAAACTAAGACGGTTGGGCATAGTGCAGACCACACTATAACTTCATACGCGAAAGTCATTAACACATATGAACTGGAAAATATTATGTTAATGATAAAAAAATATCCACAATTGTAAAAACTGTTAGTACTCTACATTTCCAAACAAAATGAAACGCATAGCAATAATTGGTGTTGTTAATTTTGCTTGATGAAATAATACTTTACTTATTTTCTGTTATAATAATAATTGTAAAGATATGTTTTAGTCAAAACCATTGCACGCATGCACCTCAGTCTAAACGTATGTAACCCCAGCCTTACACGGCTGTAACCCCAGCCGTACACGGCTGTAACCCCACACGGCTGTAACCCCACACGGCTGTAAGGCCAGCCTTACACAGCTGTAACCCCAGCCTTACACGGCTGTAACCCCAGCCTTACACGGCTGTAACCCCAGCCTTACACGGCTGTAACCCCAGCCTTACACGGCTGTAACCCCAGCCCCACACGGCTGTAACCCCAACCTTACACGGCTGTAACCCCAGCTTTACACGGCTGGTATAATTTATATTAAAATTGATATTTTCCAACCAGTGTGGCTTACAGGTATTGTGCGTTTTTTATTAATGTGTTCGATACAGTTGACTGATTAACAGTTTGCCTGATCTCATCAACGTTTTTTCCTAAATATTCTCTTAGTTACATTTTTTTTCTAGGATGACTTGAACGATGAATAACCTAAACAACATCTGAAGAAAAGGATTACTTAAACGATGACTATTTTAAAAAACATCTGAAAGATGACTAGAACAATGACTAATTCAAACACACACTATCTGAAGGATGACTTGAAAGTTGACTCATTTAAACGAAATCTTCTGAAGAATGACTTGAACAATGAATAATCTGAAAAACATCTACGGATGACCAGAGGCTTAGCGACCCTTCCCGGCGCTCGGGGACAAACTTTTCGATTTGCACCCCCCCTCAAGATTTCCATTTGCACCCCCCCCCCCCGCAAACTTTCGATTTGCGCCCCCCCCCCCCCCCCCTTGAGATTTTTATTTGCACCCCCCCCCCCACCTCAAACTTTCGATTTGCACCCCCTTCAACCTTTCAATTTATTTTTCCAACCCATTTTGGCGCCCCCTAAGGTCGGCGCCCGGGCACATATGTCCCCCCTCGTCCCCCCCCCCCTCGCTACGCTACTGCCGGATGACTTAAACGATGACTAATGTAAACACCAACTGAATGAAATAATGACTTGAACAATAACTAATCTAAATACCGACTGATGGGCGACTCGCTCTTTTAACCTTTCCACCTGTTCATATACATCCTTATCTCTAACGCCTAACTCCAATATATGTCAAATTCCTCCCACAGAAGTGTACAGTTATTAACCTTTAATCAGGGGCGTAGCGAGGGGAGGCGGGGGGTGCGGACCGCACCGGGTGACACCATTTAGGGGGGTTACACCAAGGCAAAAAATAGCAAAATATATAGAGAAAAACTTGAGGGGGGTGCAAATCGAAAACTTGAGGGGGGGGGGAGCAATTCGAAAATTTGAGGGGGGGGGGGGGCTGCAAATCGAAAGTTTGAGGGGGGGGGGTGCAAATCGAAAATTTGAAAGTTTGTCCCCGGGAAGGGTCGCTACGCCTCTGGGGGGGGGGGGGGTTGACACCATTTAGTGCCGCACCGGGTGACACCCGACCTCGCTACGCCACTGTCTTTAATACAAAATACAAAACAAATATATAGTTTATTAAAAATAAAAAAGGGACACTACTCTAAACCTACACCATTGTTTACAACACCGTCTATTTTAATAATACCCTGCCGTCCGTTTATAAAAACATTATATAGGCCTACTGATATCGCAACATGAGGTGTCTCTTGTTACAAATTATATTGACATTCTAACTTCGCGGTGTAACAAAGTAAAATAACCTTTATGTCGATGTAAAATATAGACTTTGATTTTGCTTTCGTTCAATCTTGTTTTGTGGACAGTGATTAAAACGAAACGTGATAATGATTATGTTCATAAATAGGAAAATCTGAAAGTTTAAAAATACCAGCGATTTTTATAAGAAAAGAAAAATATAAACAAATAATATCATATTTATTTTTATTTACAACTAAAAGAGATAACACTTAACATCAATTTTCTAGCGCAGAAACGGTGCAATATAAATGACACATATTATCTTGTTTTATACATTGAACATGAATACAATGTTTTACATCATTACACAAGCGCAATATCTTAAAACGTAATTAAATGGCGCGATAATTAGTTAGTAAATATCAAACGATGCATTTTCTATTGAGTTGGATACATTTTAGATTAATTAGAATATTTTAGATTAATTAGAATATTTTAACAGATTTTGTGAAAAAAAGTGTTATGTCAAAACTGACGGATTTCGACTAAAGTAACTCAATTAATAGATTTAGTTCTATGGATTTTTAATAAGAAAATACAAATTGAATATCTAATCAATTGAAGGTAAAACTACTGAAGATCTAAATTATTCTAATCTCATTCTAATCATAAATCGGATGATATTTTATTATTTTTATTTAGAATCGACCCTTTGAATCCCGGACAGATCGTCCCCCCCCCCCAACCAAATTTAGTATTTTAAGATTTATGGCCTAATGATAGTTGTATATCAATTACATTTAAATACCTTATTTAGGCCCCTAATGCATTTTCATTTTTAAGTTGTTTTTTTTTTGTTCTGTTTTAGGCATGTCTTCTACCGTCCTCATAAATCCAGGTAAAGATCTATGTGTGTGAGTGTGTGTATAAAAATTTATAAAACAGTAAATAGCAGTTTCTTCCAAGCATCTCGTTAGGGAGGGGGGACTTTGAGCCTCCACCCCGAAGAAAGTCTACCCAGTCCCCGGAACAGAATGGAATTTCTATAGATCTAGAAAGCATTTTTATCAGTGTCCACCCCTGGAAAATTGATTGCTATCATATCGTAAATACTATTAAATATAATAAATACTAAATAGGCTCCATTGCCCATTTGTTTTCTTTAACATGTTTCTCACAATTTTTATCCATCCCCTTCCCGTCACCCACAATTTCAAAAAGGCAGATGCCTAGATTCTAGATCTAGACTCTAGATTCTAGATCTATATATTATACATCATACAAAACAAATTTCAACTAGTGTTATCAACAACAGTTATTTCTTTCTAAAATAATAAACTCATTTGGACAAGTAGGCCCCTATATGGTATGTTTATCAATATTTACCGCAATTTACAAATTTAGAATGGAAAACCTTTGCTTAAATTCAGTCTTCAGGGTTACTTTTTTTTAAATGTAATTTTGTGATGGCACATTTTCTGAGCAACCCATTTCCTCAGCTACATCATCACACAAATTGGTATTTACTTACGGCTTACTTATATTACAATATCAAAACACTATCACTATTGCTAATTATTAACTAATTAACATTTTAATCTGTTGAAAATAAGAGAGAAAAGCAGTTTTTAGGCATATTATTTATTTTTATTACTCTCAACACACAAACTAAATGCAGACTTATTTTTCAAGATTTATACCTTAGTGTATCATATACTTTTTAAACAAAATTTTGCTATTCAAAAAATATATATAAACCACTACCTTCTAACCTATATGCAGAAAAAGCACAAAACGTTGGGATTCGCTGCCGTGTGCATTTCCCTGATTGTAAAGTTGATGACAGAGATATATTTGAACATTGGATGGCTTTTGAGGTTTGTGTTATAGTAAAGAAATGCTCATGACCTTTAGTTGATGTTAAAGGGTAATATTTTACTTTTTTGTAATTTAAATACATAGACTTAAATATTTTATTTAATTCAATGCTTATTAGAAAGAATACAGTTTGATTATTCAGTCTGAGTTATTTTTTATTAATCTTGTTTAAACTTTTTTTTAGCTTAAGGAGAGATTGTTATTTTCTTATCCGAATCTTGATCCTTACAACTATGATGTGATCATCCGTTTCCATGACGAATCACAGAATGTTATTCCAGATGAAACAGAGTTAAATGCAGAAGATCTAAAGAGATGTGAAGGAATTTATATTGTCATTAGAGGGTAATTTGAGAAACTTTTACATTTATTTTTACTCAGATTTAAAATAAGCAAACACATAGTAATAATTGTATGAAGTTAAATACACATTTTATGCAGCACAATTTTCTGCTATGAATACATTGAATAAAGGTAGTATAATAAGGTAGGACAACTTATACAAAAACTTGGTTTCACAAACTGATAGCAGCTTTAATTTATAAATAGATTTTAGCTTTCTGCATATTACAAGATACAAACTAGGTTTCAGCATACTGAAATTACATATTAACAACAGAAGATGAGAAATTATTTTTGATTATGATATTTATATTAATATATTTAAAAGGAACTTATATTTTTTTGGAAAATACCACTAGTTAATCAAAAAGATTGTTTTTTTAAAAGATCACCTAGTCCGAAAAGACATTTTGTCTATTATACAACTTGTTTTCAAAGCAATCAATAATTGACCATCCTGTTTATTACATTCTAGCCAAGATGGAAACAGGGAGGCAACACCTATTGGAAACATACACCCAAGATAAATTCCTGGTGTTTTAAGTACCAAATACTATTGGAGACAATCACATTTCTTTTGACGTACAGACATGCTTTACTTAAAATATATATATCTATTTTTATAAAAGTTTGTAAATTATTCTTGTTTTATGCCTTTGGTCACTGGCATAGCAGAGTTTTACAATTTTAGTTTTCAAGTGTTTTATTTCATAATTTTCTGTGAAATAATGATAAGAATATTAAATAAATTAAAACTGTAAGGAAATATAGTAATGATGGTAAGTTTGCATATTATTTGCTGTTTGATAAGTAGCATGATTAATTTAAAACTATAAGACACTGAGAAACTCAAGCTTGTCTACTGATTTATGGATTTATGTACCATTACATTGCATATTTGAAAGCACATATGAATAAATATTATGTTTTTAGAACAAATTTCATGAGTGTTGCTACCTTCATTTTAGAATTATCTAGTTTTATTGGTAGCTCTTTCTGTTTTATTGAAGATGCTGTCAGACCTGTGTCCATTTCTAATTGTTCAATCATTCTATTATTTTTGTGTGCTGTCTCTGCATTTAAATGTTATCATTCTATACTCAGTGTGTGTTTAATTATTCTCTGTAGAATTAGCTAGGTGACAATTTATTCTGCGCTATTATGTATTTAGCTATTATGAGCATCACTAAATAGACTATTGTTTTCTTACACAGTTTACAGTTAAGCCTAGGGGTTCGTCAGATGGTATTACCCAGTAGTCAAAATATTTTAAAAAATATGAATTATACAATTACAGCTTTTTCCAGTAACATGGATGCTTAAAAGAAACATGTATTTAATAAGCAAACCCCAAATGCTCAATTAATGAACACCAATGTTTATGCTAGTAAGGTAACGACATCACCACATCACAACATGCAAACGGCTCCCCTCTAATATTTAAGAATTCTTATGGCCATATGATATATTAAATAGGCCTGTATATATATATATATATATATATATATATATATATATATATATATATATATATATATATATATATATATATATATTGTAATAGATTGAGATAATTGTGAGGTCAAGGGAACTCACTCTTCTGTATTAGTATTATATTTATATTGTTATCTTGAGTGATGTCCCTTACATGTTATGTATATAAGTCTCTCGTCACTTCCGTCTCTCTCTCTCCTCATGGTGTGAATAAACTACTGTTAACAATCTACGTGGCTTCTCGTAAGTGTTTGCCAATCTATCACATTGGCGACGAAGGATAAATAATCCACTAGAAAGAGCACCTAATTATTCAAAAAGAGGTTTGCTAGAACATATTAGCTAAGTATTTCTAGAATAATGGCGCTGTATGGCCAAATAAAAGAATTTGATTCGAATGATGAAATCATTCAGGATTACCTAGATAGGTTAAGCTTTTACCTTGAAGCAAACGACGTGACGATAGAAGCCAAAAAGAGAGCTGTTTTGTTAACAGTCATAGGGCCTCAACAATTTAGGCTACTAAAGGACTTATGCGCACCGGCTAGTCCAGATACCAAGAGCTTTAACGAGCTGAGCAAATTGCTAACAGACCACCATGCGCCTACCCCATCAAAGTTTCTATGTCGAGCTAGATTTGACGGTAGGACTCGTCAACCAAACGAGTCAATATCAGAATATGTTGCTGCTTTACGTCATTTAAGTAAATTCTGTGAATTCGGAGACACGCTGTCTGACAGACTATGTGAAAAGTTTGTGACAGGTGTAAACAGCCCTGATATTCAAAGAAAGTTGCTGCTCGAGTCAGATCTAACATTAGAAAAAGCAATACAACTAGCAACTTCATTCCAGCAGTCATCCGAGGCGGCGAGATCTCTAACGCCTTCAGAGATCCATGCAGTAAACAGCAGGTTAGTCAATAAACACCAACCCCATCAGAGCATTCCAACTTATGCTAAACAGCCTGCACGTTTAAAGCCTAGATCTAAATCTAGTAATAATTATCAAAAATGTCATCGATGCAAAGGTCCCCATGCATCTCATCGATGCAAGTTCAAGTTAGCTACTTGTTATAAGTTATAAGTGCAGTAAGCAAGGTCACATTGCCAAGGCCTGCTTTGCAAAGTCTTCGTCTGTTGCTAAATCTAGCCAGTCAAGACAGTACCGCACCCAAAGGCAGCACTATGTTAACTCTCACCAAGACTACCTAACCCAACCAATGAACCACTCTACCTGTGAAAATGCTTAAACTGATTTGCAGCCGGAGTTCAACCTGTTCCCTGTGAAATCAGAAAGTCATGCTCCCATCAATGTACTAGTTAATATCAACGGTAAGAGCATCAGCTTCCAACTTGACACTGGAGCATCTCTAACAGTCATAACAAAGAAAGACTTTGACGCTGTCACAGGAGGATCAGTGCCTCTACAACCATGTCACAAGTGTCTAACAACACTGGTGACAATGTTCCGGTAATAGGAGAGTGTATGGTTCATGTAAGTTATAATGGTCAAAGTGTTAAACTTCCTCTTCTTGTGGTTGAAGGAAATCGACCACCATTACTAGGTAGGAACTGGTTAAGTGATCTTAAGTTAAATTGGGAGAGTATATGTTCATTGAACAATATAAGAGAATCTAGTCTTACTTCAATAGATAAAGTAATATCTGAAAATAAAAGTGTTTTTGGCAATTCAGGTTTACTAAATGATAGAACAGTGAAGATAAGCATTAAAGACACAAATCCAAGATACTGCAAAGCTAGAGTTCCACCTTATGCAATGAGGAATAAAATTGAAAATGAGCTAAGTAGATTGGAATCTAATGGCATCATAAAGAAGGTAGACTTTTCCGATTGGGCAACGCCCATTGTGCCAGTGTTAAAGAAGGATGGTTCTATAAGAATTTGTGGAGACTATAAAACTACACTGAATAAGCAAATAGAGCTAAATAGGTACCCTATACCTAACATTGAGGAAATTTCTTTGAATTTGGCAGGAGGAGACAAATTCACTGAATTAGACTTTAGTCATGCTTACACTCAACTAGAACTGCATCCAGATTCAAAAGTCTATACGACAATAAACACACATAAAGGACTCTACCAATATGAAAGACTATGTTTTGGCATATCATCCAGCCCTGGAATTTTCCAAGCTGTCATGGACAGTATTTTTAAGGATATTCCAAATGTTTGTGTGTACTTTGACAATGTGTACATAACTGGTAAGAATGACACTGAACATCTTAAAACACTTGATAAAGTATTGAAAATAATTGGTGAAAAAGGTTTAAAGATAAACAAAGATAAATGTCAATTCATGTTGACAGAAATTAGTTTTCTTGGTTATATATTGAGCAAACAAGGTATCAGACCTCAACCTGAGAAAACAAAAGCCATTAAAGAAGCACCCAAACCTGAAAATACCCAACAACTAAGAGCTTTTTTGGGCTTGATAAATTACTATGCAAAGTTCATAGGGAATCTGTCTGGTAAACTATCACCACTGTACAAGCTGCTACAGAAAAATGCAACTTGGCACTGGGGTAAACAACAAGAAGCTGCTTTTAATACAGCAAAAGAAGCTTTGTCTTCTGACACCTTACTAACTCACTATGACCCAGGGAAAAGACTTGTATTGACATGTGATGCTTCACCAGATGGTGTAGGAGCAGTCTTGTCCCACATGGATGAGAAGGGTGACAGACCCATTGCTTTTGCCAGTAGATCTTTGAACCAGGCTGAGAAAAATTATTCTCAGTTAGATAGGGAAGGCTTAGGCATCATTTTTGGTGTTAAGAAATTTCATAAGTTTCTGTTTGGTAGGAAGTTCACCATCTTTACAGATCATAAACCATTGCTAGGTTTATTTGGAGAAAACAAAACCCTACCTGAGCATGCCTCACCAAGAATTCAAAGATGGGCTATCACACTAACTGCATACAATTATGAATTGAAATACAAACCTGGATCTGAGAATAGTGCAGATAGTCTTAGTAGATTACCTTTAAAAAACCAAAGCCTTAGCTATATACCAGAAGATGTATTTGTTCTCTTCACTATCATGGATAACTCCAATATAGATGTGAATGATATTAAAAGAGAAACACAAAAAGATGAGTGCTTAATAAAAGTATATGAGTACTGTAAGAATGGTTGGCCTGAAGAGTCTGTGAATGATGACTTAAGGCCATATTAAATAAGAAATAAAAACCTTTGTGAAGATAATATAAAAGATGGAGAAGATGCAGTCCATTATCAGTCAGAGTTGCCTAAACAAAGTATTTGTAACTTAATAAATGATTATGGTGATATGGCAATTTCAAATGCTTTAAGTAAGAAGGAATGTGATCATCAAACAACTTTGCTAACATCATTAGCACTTACAGAAACTAAAAGGGTAACATCAAAAGAAAAAAGATTTTTGCCATTTAATACACCCACTTCAAATACTGGATCACAGTTGCAAAGTGATATGGTCCAGGATATTACTTTTAAACAGTATTTTTGGGTTACCAGGAAAGCACTATCAGATTACCTGAGAAAATTGATCAATCAAAGAAATCTATGTCAGTTAAGGATCTGAATAATAGCATAATACTTTCAGATGCCAATTCAAAAATAGTTCCATTAAATCATGACAAACATCCATTGAAAGAGAATTTGGTGTTAATGAGAATGTGTATCTAAGAAATTATGGGAGAAAGGAAAAATGGATACCAGGTCAAATTGTTCAATGTACAGGACCTGTGTCTTATAAAGTTAAAAATAACTTGTGCAGATAATAAGTGTGAATCTGTCAATCCCACTAAATCTGAACAGTTCACACCAACTCAGTTTGTTCCACAACCAAGTTCTGTTGATATGAGTGAACCAAGTTGTCTAGAGTCAGAAAATGTAAATTCTGGAGTTAATGATTTAAATCCTAGACCTCCTGAGATAGAGAATCCAAATGGTCAGAATATTGAGTCACCGAATCAAAGGCCACTGAGAAGGTCAAACAGGACAATCAAGGTCCCAAATAAGTTAGACCTATGATTTCAAAGGTCAAAAGGACTTTGACATCATTGTTTGTATTTTAATTGTGTTGTAACATATTGTGCATTGTTTGTAAGGATGTAATCTACCAGAGTGTTCATGTTACAATATAATTGGTGATTTTAGGATACTGTAAATTGTTCTATTGAGAGATGTGTTATTGTGTTCTAAGGGTAAAGGGATGTAATAGATTGAGATAATTGTGAGGTCAAGGGAACTCACTCTTCTGTATTAGTATTATATTTATATTGTTATCTTGAGTGATGTCCCTTACATGTTATGTATATAAGTCTCTCGTCACTTCCGTCTCTCTCTCTCTCCTCATGGTGTGAATAAACTACTGGTAACAATCTACGTGGCTTCTCGTCAGTGTTTGCCAATCTATCACATATATATATATATATATATATATATATATATATATAGGTTTATATATAGATATATATAGATAG